GTGGCTGTTAAGATATCTTTGATTAAAGTTTTGAAAAATTTTATAGTATAATGCTGGATGTTCCCTTTTCCCTTGGCAGCACTCATATTTACTTTGTCGTACTTTAAAAAAACAATTTTAATTTTTATGATCCGACACCGCGGACTTAGTAATGAAGTGTTGGCTGCATAATTTTAAATTTTACAATCTATTATTTTTGTTATTTATCGTAGCTCGCCGTGATTTGATTAAATTAGGTTGCTTTTTTAAAATATTTTTATAAACACGAAATAAAAAGATCCTTTCTATTTTTCCTTTTTTTTTCAAAAATGGCGAAAAAATTTTTTTCTCAATTATCCCACGACTTAACGAAATTACTCTCGGATACGAAATTTTGTGACGTAACAATTGTAGTTGGTAAAGCTCCTGACACTAAAAGTTTCCGAGCCCACTCATCAATCTTACATTGTCGATCGCCTTATTTTCGAAGAGAGTTGTCCAATCCAAGTTTCAATAGTGTGTCAAAAAAATTTAAATTCAACATTTCTGTTGAAGTTTTCGAAACCTTGCTTATGTATGTTAATAAAATTTAAAATATTACATGATCATAATGGATGTTTAACATTATATTTGTATTTAAACAAGGTACATCTATAATGGAACTATAATGTTGGAAGATAAAAGTGGATCGGAAATTTTTCGAATTCTATTAGCTGCCGAAAAACTTGGCCTTTACGAAATCATCACGCATCTTCAACAATTCTTATTAGATTATCATGTTGATTGGTTAAAACGACATATTGAGACCGTAAATCGTGCTAGTTTTCGAAACGATTATTTTCAGGTCCTTCAACAGTTTTGTACTGCGAATGATCCTGAAAAAGTGCTGAATGCTATTAATTTTGATTCTATTTCTGAGAATGCTATGATATCTTTACTTAAACGGAACCACTTTGGAATGGATGAAGTTCAAATATGGGACCATGTATTGTAAAAAATTTCTAGTTTTTTGTTATATATTTTTTTTTCGATGAACTGCCATTCAAAATTTTTATCATAGGTTCTTAAATGGGGTTTGACACAAAATCCAACGATGTCAACTATGGATCCAACAAAGTGGATAGATAACGATTTCAAAACTTTACAGGCATCGCTTCAACAATTTCTTCCGTTAATTGGATTTCATGAAATGACAGGACAACAATTCTTTGAAAAAGTGAGCCCATTTAGTAAAATATTTGAACCACGAGTCTACGAAGAATTAGTTCAGTACTTTATGTTGTCAGACAAGGATGTTTCGAATGTGAATATTTCCGACTCGTCACCTAGAATAAAGTATCCATCCTTGAACTCGATGGTTACATATGTTGATTCTTGTATTATTTCTACAAAACACGCTGCATTGATTGCTATTTGGATCAGAGAAGTTGAACAGACAGTTACACCTAGCAGTCCTATTCGTCAAGAAGCTACCAAAATTCCCTATAATTTTAAATTATTACTTCGTGGATCGCGTGATGGATTTTCACCATCAACTTTTCACCAACTATGTGATAACAAACCAAATACAGTTGTAATTATGAAAGTTAAAGATACAGAAGAACTAATTGGTGGGTACAACCCAATCAGATGGAAATCCACTAAAGGTTGGGGACAAACACCTAGTAGTTTTATTTTTTCATTGGGTGATGCTGATATGAAAAATGCCGTTTTGAGTCGCGTGAAAAGAAGAAACAGCGCATTAAATTATGAGGTATAAAAACTATTCATAACATATCGACATATATACAATATCTAATCTCTTGCAGTATGGGTGATAAATTTACCTATTCTAAATCAATTGATTATAATACATTTTATTAGTGGTGTCACCTATACTGCAAGAGATCCACAATATCTTGTTTTAATTATCTAATATTGCAGGAATATCTTGGACCATCATTTGGCTTTGACGATATTACGGTCAATGGTGAGAATTATAGAGAAGAGATGAAATGTTATTCAGGAAATTATAGCTATGAAAAACCAATTCGATCTGAAGGGTATTTTTTAGTTGATGAATATGAAATTTTTCAGATTTCGGAAGTTTGATTACTTTGGTATTCGCGTTATCTTACATATACCGTAAATATATAAACAATTGTTCATATATAAAACATATTACTGTATTAACTGTATATCTCTTATATAAAACATATTACTGTATTTAACTGTATATCTCATATATAAAACATATTAACTGTATGTCAATATAATATTCATTTTGAAATCTCTGCGTCTTAAATGTTTCCGTCACTAGAATAACACGCCTAAAGTTTTTTTTTTTTTTGGTTTTGAAAATCTATTATATACTCGACTTATACAGTTATAGTGGTATGAATATAATAATGTCCACTGATGGAAATGTTACCAGTGAGCATTAGAAAAATCTAATAGTTTAATAAAATCTTATCTGGAACTTTTACTATTTTGATCAAAATATTTTAAAATACTTTAACGTAATGACGTTGCATTACTAATTTCATAAACTATTGCTATTTTTAAGTATCCATTTTCTGTTTTACAATCTGAAAATTGTTATATAATTGATACTTCATGCATCACTATAATTAGAACTAACCTTGAAATTAAACAGACAAAATTTTTTTTTAAAAATGTAGTAATTAGAAAAGTTAGGATCTATAATACAGTTTTCTACCAATATCAATTTATATTATACTTACATAGTACAAGTGGTTGGAAATTTAATTCTACGAAGAGATTGGTTAGTACCCTTTTGGCAGATTTAACGAAAGTTTCAATGAAATGTTTTAGAGTTTCATTTGAAGTTATTGCACTCGCGATTTCATGCGACTTGTATGAGATAAAATTAAATCTCATGCGAGATAAACAAACCGTTCGAGATATAGGAAATGTATACAGACAGGTTTATATCACGAGAGATACATCAAGTAATATTTACGCTATATGCCGTGATCTTACAAATTACTGTCTACATTTGCAATTTAGTAATCCAATATTAATTCAGGGTACTCTCAAGCATCTTTCGTAGTGTAATTAGCTAGCTATAGAGATCGTGCACAAGTACTACGATAATTGAAGTAAACCTTACGGTAATTTTGTCGAAGATTCACGTTGCGAAACGCGGATATTAAATTTTAGCCAATCAGCACAACTCTGACCATCCCATCTTTTTTTTCATCGCGATAATGAACTCGCTTGACCGAATAATTTATTTTCCACTAATTAAAATTTTAACTCAGACCTATTGATTTAGATGCTTGAGAGCACCCTACATTTGCAATCTAGTAATCCAATATGAATTCAGTCTATAATTCAATCTATAATTCAATAATTACTACCATCGTAAATGTCGTAGATCGCACTACTTGTCGTATTTACATATGTTGTAAGTGGGAATGGAATTTATTTCTTAGAAATTTGTTAGGGTGTAGGTTTATATAAAATAAATTCTACCATATAATTATAGCGATAGATTTATTACTGTATTAAGGAAATCCTAAATTCCGTTCCCACTTACATCATATGTACTGTACCACAGTTAATTTGGATCTAGTGTTTTAGGAGAAAATGAAATATCCTTATACTTTCTGTACGAACTTTGATAATTAAACGCAGATTTGTAAACTTCGCGAATGATCTTTGTTTCAAAAGAAGCAAGATAAAGTATATAGTTCAAATCATAATATAAATATAAATTAATAAGACATGAACCGGAGTATATGCGAATACTTAGTATAATTGCCGGGAGATAAAGACCGATTAGATATAGTGCAATTACTTAAAGTGAATTAATATATTTAAGCTTAGGCCGCTTGCAGTTAAAGTTTCGTTTAACGTTATTTTTTTTTTCGTATTCATGGGGGGGAGGGGGGAAAAATTAAACAAACATAAAAAATAAACATATAGTATACCGAAAAATCCCGAATATAATCGAAAAATTCCGATCGCTGTGCCGACCACTACACTGACTAATTTGTCACCTCTATTTGTTTAATTTTAGGGGGGAGCTCAGGAGATGGAGGGGGGGATAACGTTAAACGAAAGTTTAACTTCAAGCGGCCTTACTGAAACTGCCTAAGGTTAATATTCATTTGGAACTAAATAATCCCAAATATTGAACTGTGCCCTCCATGACAATTATGGAACCGTTTTAGTTACGATATTACACATCGATTTATTTTGATAATCCAAGTTTATAGAGACGGTGATATATTTACTAAAATACGATATATATACAGTATTACATTACGGCATTATAATACATTATACTACCTATATCACGACCTACGACATTATTTACTTATTACTTTTATTACAACTACGACATATTATAATGCTCGTTACTTATATTACGACTTACGTCAATACTACAAAAGTTGCGACTTTTTAGTAGTGAAAGTTGCAACTCCGTTATCCCAAAATGTCTGCACCTCTAATGTTAATTCTACGTAGTCCAGTTAATTAATACAAAAATAGAATTGGACTCGTTTAAGGTTCAGTTCAAATTAGGTTTGAGCTTAGTCTGTACCGAGTTCTCAAAATTCAGCCTTAATATGAACTGAACTTGTTAAGTTACGTCTTAAACTTGGTATGAACTCGGTTCACATGAACTATTTAATGCACTAAACATGTGACTCACAATATAACTCAAAATATAACTATATATAATTCAAAATATAGTTTTTTTAATAACAATTACTGCATACCGATACTAATACGTACGTACGTACGTACATATTAGTATTTAATTAATCTATTGTTATGTTTTGACGGAAAAATCTGAAATTAAATTTAATTTAATTCCAGATTTCTCAGCGTAAAATGCCGTAACACAAACAGTAAGTATAGAATTTTTTCACAAAAAATTGATTTTTTTTTTTTTGATAATAATCTGAGATCTATTGACGATTTTTTTGTATCTATCTACGCTGATGTCTTTGAATCGGGACATCATACTGATCTAAAACCTTGAAATATTAATATACGTATTATAATAAAATATAAAATCAACGAGGATGACTTATGCGACGTATTTATGATGAACTTTGAGCGAATCAATTCGATCATATTACGCCAAAAATGATGACGATTTTGATGTAAAACTTGCCATAAATTTCTTATATATTGATTTGTTTACTTACAAACTTCAATTTGCGTTATAACAGTATAAAGCAAGCAGACTTTAAATATTCTTATATTAACAGTTTTTTTATTTATCATGAAATCCGTTCATCGCAAGAAGCCATCAGTTTCTTACTACTCCGTCGATGTTTCTTGGTGCTTATTAGATGTTACTAAGCCAGCATCGCTGGTAGCCTGTTGTACAACCAGACAGGGGTCTTTAATCGTTCAAGATTACCTGAAAAGATTTGGCAATTGTAGCTATATCTTGGAACAAGTATCACAGAGCTTTTGCGACATGATGAAAGGTTACATGGAATTCTTAAATCTTTTTTTTATGTTTGTTTAACTTCGGTATACTAAGGTATCTTTATTTAGATCCTTACGCAAACCATGTTTGTCAATGTTTGATAACTCTTTGTAATGATTCTCAACGAGATTTTATACTTAATTTGATTGGCCATAAAGTGCCCCAGCTTGCGCGAGATGCGCATGGGAATTATGTATTGCAATGCTTGATCAAAAATATTACAACTAAGGGGCAGGTAAAAAAAATTTCTGATTTTTTGACATAATGACCGCATTGCGCATAATTTGACATTCCTTTTTTGTATTTAGGCAATTCGCCTTATCTCTTATCTTGCAAAGGATGTTAAAAGCCTCATTGTAGACAGTTATGGTTGGTTCAAGTTCTTCTTTTTGCCTAAGCGAATTAAAGATTTACAAGAAAACTCATTTTTTATGTAAATTAAGGCAATTTTGTTCTTCAGAAGACTATTGAATTTTGGCCTGCTGAATTAACACAAGTATTATTAAATTGTTTATCTTCGATTAATTAATTAATTGGTCAATCTAATGAATAATTCACCTTTTTATTAGTTTATATACCATGGAGTTTGTGAAAACATTCTTGATGCAGCTTGCGATATTCATGGTTGCTTTGTCGTAAAGAAATGTTTCGAATACGGAACTTATCTCCAAAAAAGCCTTGTGCAGTCCGCAATTGCGGCAAATACATTAATTTTAAGTCAGGTATTATTAAATTTTTTCTTTTAAATTTACATAATGCATAGTTTCTACATTATTTTCTGTTATCTATTATTATTAGAACTTCACTGGTCGCATCGTTTTACAATACGTTCTTAATGTTGGAGAAACTCTTTATTTCGAAGCCATCAAAAAAAAATTACAAGAAACTCGTTTTGAAACCTTTTTTAAAGAACCGGATTTTCATATTCAAAAAAGCCGTTAAAAGTTGCAGTGCACGTGTTCTTACTTCTTGCTTGTCAATTATCACGGTCGGTTTTTGAATCTACTGAATATATTTTCGTTCCTTCTTTCTCTTTCTCTCTCTCTCTTTTTTTTTGCTTTTTATTTTATTATTTGAATAAGGAACTAGATAAGAAATATGTTCAATGTTTTGATTTTATAAAATTTTGCTTTATATTAGAATACAAAACTTTACTTTTTACTTAGATTATTTTTATTTTTTATATGTTTATGTCTGGCGCTTTTTTTTAATGATATGTATTATTCAAAATTTCTCAAAACTTATAAAATTATAAAATGATTTTTTTTTGACATTTTTTTTACATATTTGATGGCCAATAATATTGACAAAGTTCTACGAGAAACGGGAAGTAACAGGCCGTTTTTTCTTTACAATTTATTATACTGTATTATGAATTGGTTTAAGGAACGCCTAATTTCATCATGAAAATTCAGGCGAGACCAACTTGATTCTGTTTTACATTACCCCTCTCCCTTCCGGAAGGGGGGGGGAAGAATTTGTGGTTTACATGATAAAATTTTAAAAAAATTTTTCGTTCAAAAAAAATTATTCCGAGACTATATAAAAATTTTTCGAAGTAGCCCGTAGACCTATATATATTTATCTAACTATGATGGAGAGGAGGAACGCTGGGGGGGATACCGTAAAACACAGAATCAAGTCGTTTCTTTTTTGTTGGGTTACATGTAGGGATATGTTACGGTCCTGCAAAGACGAATAGATTAGTGGGTCCACCAAAATTCAGCAAATCGGCCCGAATTTGGGGTTAGGAATAGGCCGGAGTCAGGTGGCCTTAAGCAATAATACTGGCCAACTATATTATAGCAAAATTATCATTTGGGCAGCTTTACTTAGTCATGGGCTGCCACTTTATTAGTAAAATTTTGGGTGGCTTTAGAAAAAATTTATCAATTCCGGCCTATTCCGACCCAAATTCAGGCCGATTTGCTGAATTTTGGTGGGCCCACTAATCTATTCTGCAAAGACCGCGGTCTGGACCAGTGCAAATGAGACGAGAACACCCAGCAAACATAAGTTCGTACAATTTTCTTCGATTCATTGCTTGCCCCTTCCTCTTCTGCTTGCACTAGCCAGACTTTGCCTTTCGGCACTAAACAAAAAAATAAATTAGTTGATTCTAACTCATCTAATATAAAATAAAGTTTATCGAACTTACGTGCTAAGAAAAGCATATTTTTTAATCGGAAGCTTTTTTAGTGTGGCACGAATAAGGGGAACTATTACATCAGTTACATAGGTCCCCTCACTCTGAGCACTCGCAAACTCCAAGTATTATCATGTGAAAGCTTTTGTGGTAAACCCTCCATATCATCATTATGAAAATTCTCTACAAAGTTAGTACACATATTTTGAATATTGAATATTGTGAGGTATTTCTACTTTCATTTTATCGAATGGCTCCATAAAAGAATCCAGTGACGTCTTATCCAGGTTAAGAATTAAATCAGATTGGTCGCTTATTACTTGGCTAGCAAGCGGGTCCTGCCATGACAAGTCTGATATTGGTAAATTAATTAACCCCATTTGCAATTCTAGAGCATGATCAGAAGTACTTTGCTAAAAAAATTATTGAAATGTGAATTTTTTTGGTAAATATTTAGAGCGCAGGGTAACCCAGCAGCATAATCAATGTACCATACTTACTGAAAGTTTCGTTAACAAGTCACCTATATTTTTAGAAATTTGTTTTTTGCTAAGATGACTTTCTAATTTCGCAGTTTTTACATTGTTAACACTGCGAATTCCCTCGAAGGCATCGTTAAACTGGCGAAAAAAAAGATATATATTAGATTTCTTGCTAATACGTATATACAGTGGCGATCATAAGTAATGGAGCAAAAAAAAAAATTTGGTTAGATCACGTTATTTCGTGCAATTCTGGA